CAAGTATCATATATAGTAGCCATTTATAAACAAAAAAAATCTTCGATTTGTAGAGCACTTCTTTAATATACAAATTTTGTGAAATCCTTTAGGCTCAAACTTCATTATTATATATAGCTTCTGCAGTCATTAATTATTACAGTTTGTCAAAACACGTTTGATTATATTTACTTGTATAAATAAATATGCATAAATATATTTATATGATGGTAGGTATATAATATAGCAAGCGTATATATATATATATATATATATAGAGAGAGAGAGAGAGGGTACCTTGTACAGTTGTAGGTATACCTATAAGCTATTATATATAGGTGTATTTATTTATTATAGTTTAAATAAAATACCTTTAATATATATACTTTTTGGCCAGTGTTATTTAATGCATTTATAGATATATTAATATTTACTATTTAGGTATACCAACTATTAGATATATGAATATATGATGCACCCTATATTATACGTAGTCACGTAGATTGGTATACTTATAAGTTTCGTAAAATCTATTCTTACTAGTTACTGTATGCAAAAGTTTAGTTAGACTACTTCATTATATAATAAGAATATATACCCTTCCTAATTTTTATATATATATAGTTGTAGAAATAATACATGATATAATGTATAACGGTGCAACTTTATTTATTTTATAATTGAATGGTGATGGATTTGAGACAGATAAAATGAAGCTTTTATCACACGGAAACGTTGGTATTCATCTACCTATATATAATTATATATAACATAAAAACTTAATATATGTAATCGCGCATTGTAATGAGAGGTATAGTTCCTACCTTTTTTTTCTGTTTATAAACCACGACAACAGGGGAATTGCATTTGTAGTGCTTCCGCTCATTATTGGTATCTGTGTAATGTGTATACATGCGGCCTATATGTCAGACAACGAAGAGCGGGTGTTGTATCATTAGTCACGTCGTCTAGAGYCGCAAGTCGACCAGCACCGCCGCTGCAGTAAACGGAGCGCTATAAACAATATTATATAATATTATTAAACACCGCCAAGTCTTGGTGTTGTCTCGAAGATGTATATTTTTTTTGTTTTATTATCGACCATTATTATATACAATTATAGGATGCAGAAGCGTATTACACG